AAACGATAACCAACCAACAAAGGCAAGAAGAAGAAACACCAATTCAAAACCGCGAACCTCATACATTTGTGTGATTGCAATAGCTCCAAAGAAATCGAGTAAGCATCGACATTGCCACGAGCGAACCCGACCCGAGGTCAGTCTTCAGACCTCAAAACAAACTGGTGCGTATAGCTTCTTCGAGGACTAACGCCAAAACAAAACTGCTAGAGTACACCTAAACACATCTGGGAGCATGGGAGCGTCTATGGACATCTATAGAAGCCACCATTCCTGATCGTGGAAGTGCAAGAACCATCTCCCATGGGTTGGAAAGAGCCACCTAAACCAAATCGTCATCTCTATTCGATCCCGAAAACCCTCACTGGAACTTCACGTGAAGCATACCTTGCCGATCAAAATGAAGCATGAACTTAAACAAACAAAAGCAACACATAAACCATCTCGCAACAAAGGCAAACAAAAAACAAAAAGGAGCTTAAGAGCAAAAGTGTTACACCATATGGATCATTATGTCAAGCTAATCCCTGTCACAACCAATTTGAATAATTCATCACTACTTAACTCAATTTCATCTACAAAGACATCAATTCAACATAAGTTTTTAACTAAATTCTCGTCTCAAAAGATTTTTTTACTAAATTAGTTTGAAATTCACATCTAAAGAAATTGAAGAAAGCATTTACTGTATTTACATTTGGATCGGAAAACAGAGCTGCATTGGAATGAGATTTTGTAAACCGAAAAGCAATCAAAACTACAAGAAACGGCTTCAAGATTCATGGAGATTGGTACAAACAATTTTTTTTAACTATATAGACTTAAATTTATACGTTTTAACTTCATATATATGGTTTTAAATATTCCTATGTTATTATATATAATTAAATGAATGTTTTTCTCTAGTTTTTATTTGTGATTTTACAATTTTTCTATAAATGTTTTGTCTAGTTTTGATTTATAATATCATATTTATAATATTTCATTTTATACCGTTTGAACCGTTTAAAATCGTCTAAATTCCGATTAGATGTTTTAGATACTAAGCTCTTATTCACCGTCTGTTTAGCATGCCTACCACCTCTTGAACAATAGGTGATATGTAGCCAAATCAATTTTTTTTTTTTTTAAGTTTCTCGACATACCATTATTTTCCGTAGAACGAAAGTGTTAAAAAAAAATTGTTGGGGATGGGCGGAACATACAATTTATTCACACAACTAAAAGTTACAACCGTAATAAAAATAATTTACACCGATCTTGTTTTTCTCATTGTGCTTACCGAATGTTTTGTGAATAATACACCCATTCACTAAAATCACAGAAAATTAATTCTACATAACTCCTGAAAATATATTGTAATTTTAGATGGGTCCCTTTATGGTCATTGCCTCATTGGGTGCTTCTCGTTAATTCGTCGTCATGGTAAATTAGTTAGGTACAACGTCGTCAGTTCATTTTTAGCTGAAGATATAGTATTAGCCAAGACACGTATCAAAATTATAAATATATTTTTCTATTTTTAAAAATATACCGTCGCCATCCAGAAAACTTTTTTCAAAGAACAAAGACCAATCTAGAATTCGTATCTGGTGAAATCTTAAACTAGACAAGACACGTATCCACGTGAATCTCAAGACATATAAAATTTCCATGACATTTGTATTTTAAAAATTATTGATTGTAGTATGAAATAGATAGTGATGAATTAGTTACAACTTTGCTTTTGATCCGTATAAAAATAGTGGAAACTAATTTTGACACATGTATTTTCTCCTAATATCGTTCTCTTTCTCGATAAATGGCTATATTTTTAATCAGTTAATTTCTTTCTTTCATTTTTTTTTTGAAAAGATCATTTAATTTCTTCATATCTCTTATTCCTAAAATTTCTAAGTATATATATTTTTTTCTAATATATATATAGGCATGCATTTTTTTCTTTCTGATTAGCCAACACATTATTTTCCAAAATAATATTATGTGTTGCCTTTCTAAAATTCAATTACACATCATTTATAATTTTATTTGTTTATTTATACTCATCTATACACCCACTTACTGTTTTTGTCTTATTAGTAGTTTTATATTATGACTCATCTTTTTTTGGGTGTATAAAATATATACAACTAACTCCATTAATTTCTTACATTAGGGAAAAAAGAAACTCCAATAATTACTCACGATGTTCAGGCTATAAATTAAACCGTTACACTTATACCATATTTACTTAACCAAACATGTTTGAAAAGGGGTTGATAAAAAAAGAAGAAACCATGTTTCAAGAGGAGAAGAGAAAGACAAACTATGGAGCAATTTGCTTGGTTTGCTTCTTTTGTTTCTTTTTTGCATTCCAATTCATGAAACTTGTAACAACACAACCTTCAACAACAACATCAACCATTTCCGTTATCGATAGCCCAATCTCCTCCCATAAGCTCTCTGATAGGAGAGAATTATGGAGAGTTAGTCCACCTTCTACCTATTGTCTCAAAATTGAATCTTTCAGAAAATTCGCCACTTCTCCAAACGCCGAGAAGTACGAATCCCGTCCTTTTCAATCCGGTGGATATAACTGGTAAGTATTCTTTTCCTTTTTTTTTACGGTTTTGCACATTTCTTTGCATCAAAAGTTCCAGAGACATATTTGATTGTAAGACTATATATATTCATTTGGAAACAGGACACTTATTGTCTATCCTAAAGGAAACGTTAAGGAAGGCGCTCCAGGTGATTGGGTTTCAATGTACGTCCAAATAGACAATTCAACACTCCTTAACTCTCCTAAAGAAGTTTACGCAGAAGTCAAATTCTTCATTTATAACCGGAAAGAGGACAAGTACTTCACATATCAAGGTACTAATCAAAATTTCATTGCAAGTTGTATACAAAAACACAAACGGCCATTTACATTTGCTTAAAATATTTACTGATAAAATAAATAATTTTCTTAAAAAATACAAATTTTAAAGTTTAAACTTATGGTTTTACATAATTTCAAATGCCAAAATTTGTATTTTATAACACACAATCTCAAACGCATGTCCTGGTAAACAGAGACGGATGCAAAGCGCTTTTTTCTGTTCAAACCGTATTGGGGATATGGTAACGTTAGATCCTACGGCGACGTGGCGAATCCCGATGCTGGTTGGCTTTTCGACGGTGACAATGTTTTATTTGGTGTCGACGTTTTTGTCACTGAAGTTTTTAACAAATGGGAAGTGTTCTCCTTCACTAAGAGTTTGCATAACCGCCTTTACAAATGGACGTTAACCAACTTCTCATTACTAGAGAAAGAGTACTATGTATCTGACAAGTTCGTGATCGGTGGGAGAAGCTGGTGAGTTCCTCATGAGTCATAACTTCTTAAGTAACAAACTGATTTAACTATTTACGAATTTTTTCTATATGCAATTCTTAGGGCTTTGAAAGTGTATCCAAGTGGCGATGGAGAAGGACAGGGTAACTCGTTGTCGTTATATGTTGTTGCGGTTGATATTAAGCCGTACGACAAGATTTACCTAAAAGCTAAGCTACGAATTATAAACCAGAGAGATTCTAAACATGTGGAGAAGAAAGGTAAATTATATTGAACCATAAAAGTGTGACTAATGTTACTTACTCTGTTAGTATTGTTCTTTAGAATTTAACCACCCTTTTGGTACTATCTTATTGACAGTCGAAAGCTGGTCGGATCAAGCAAACAGTTGGGGATTCCAGAAGTTTGTACCATTTGCTGATCTTAAGGATACTTCTAAAGGTCTTCTTGTGAATGATACATTGAAGATAGAGATTGAATTTGAAGATTTCTCTAACACAAAATACTTTCCAAGTTAAGTTTTGCATTATGTGATTAATCAGCGGAACCGGAGAGGTTGGAACAAGATTGCTCAGCCAAAGTCACACTCGTTGCGTTTTTCTTTTTAAGTGTTTTTGTGTCAATAATTGGAGGATCGGTCTTACTAAGGTTTAGGAGCCTATATATCTCCCACTTTTCATTATTCCTTTTGTACTTGTATCCTATTTAAATAAATGAAAACCTAGAATAAAAGCATTGACCGTGAAACAAAAAAGTTCTAAATTAAAATCTACTGAAAAAAGTTTGCCTTATGAGTCATTTGAAATAATAAAAGTGTCCCACCAAAGAAACATCATGTTCGGTTTAGGAGTACTCTCTTCTCGTCTGTTTTGTTTCTCTGTTTATGTAGTGTATGATACATAGAGATCTACAAAGCTAGTTGTATAGTCTATGTAAATTAAGTTAGGTAACCAATCCATACTCTTATTTCATTGTATCTTTAACAATCATCAATAAGCAAATCAAAATTACCAATATCAAAGACAACTCGTTCCTCTTAAGAAAGAACAATATTAGGAAATAAATAAGAAGCAAAGAAACTACTTTCCCCTTGCTCATGAAGGCTAGGTAGGGATCCGATGCAGCCAACGCGGGAGAACAAATGGGATAAAGTATCGGTCATAGTTGTGTTGAAATGGGTTCAGGTCTCCAGCAACGCTCAAAATGTTACCATGGCTGCTATGTGCCTATGTTCCAAGTTGTTGTGAATCCAAAGCTTTCCTTTTTGGAAGTTAGCAGATATTAAACATTTATGTATCTTGCTCCTCAAGTACATAGTAGTATCATCAAAAGGGTTTATAGCCAATTCCCCGCTTTTTAACCTCCATACACGGAACTTCTTATATATCTGAGTTTTCATTGAGAAGTTGTGCAAACTAAGAATAAACCTAAGAATAAGTAAGATATATAAATAGCCAGTAGTCTAATGGGTTTCTGTTTCATGTCGGCAAGGATTTCTTGTGTGACAAAAGGAAATAACTCATCGGTAAGAACTAAAAAAGAAGAAAAAAAGACGAATGTGTCCGAAAGACTCAAAATAAGTTGGGCTTATTTGCATAATCATGGGCCTTTTCATTGGCCCAATAAATTTAAAACCCTAATAGTGTGTGTGTGTTTTTTTTTTGGTATGAGCTCTATTAGGGTTTTAATCGACGCCTTCTTCGATTTTCTTCATAGACGACACACCATTGATAAAAATCTCCAAATTGTTCCCGTCGTAGAAAATTTTCTCGAGCTGATTTCCGATGACGATTGACAACGCGAGAGAAGAAAAGAAGATAAAAGGAGAGAAACGCAAGCACCAGGTGACTTAGAACACGTCCTCTTCCTTACTAATACAGTTTCTTCGTTTAACTTGAACAAATTATGCTTTCTTTGTAGCAGAATGATCAGGTTGATATGGAGATGTTAAAACTTCGAGAAGCTCTAGAGGGAAAACTTAGAAGCAATGATTCTACTGTTCCAAAGTCTGATAAAGCTCAAAAACGTCAGAAATCAGAAGACTCAGAAGATGAATTTTACAAACAAGTGAAACAAAAACAAGAAGCTAAAAGAGCTGCCAAAGCAGAGATCTATTCAAGGTTATAATAATAATAATAATAATAATAATAATAATAATAATAATTTATTACATTAACCTTTCTTTTTTCACAAACTTTGATACTAATTGTGTTAGTTTAGGAAACCACATTTGATCCCGTCATCGCCAGAACGTGTAGTTGGAAAACGTTTGATTTCAAATCAGGTTAGAATGTTTTCCAAAGCACACAATAAACATCATCTGTTTCTCTACCTAGCATCATAGTTTTAAGTTTTAACGTTCCTTTTTTTAATCTCCACCAAAATGTAGATAGCTAGTAACAGAGGATTGACCCGTAAACGCAATAAGGACCATAAAAACCCGAGAAAGAACTATCGGGTAAACGATCTTGGATCGCCAGTCTCTGCCCTTTGACCTGTTTATTTGCCTTAACTAAGATGTGTTTTGGGATTTTGATTTTTTGTTTTCAGGATAAGCACAAGAAAAAAGTCATTAATCACAGAGGACAAGTCAGATTAATCAGGACACAAACGGGTCCATATGCAGGAGAAACTCGCGGTATCAATCCCAACACAAGCCGCAGCATCCGAATCAAGAACTAACCTCCTCTTCATATTCCTCCAATTTCTCTTTTTTTTTTTTTTGTCGTCTAGATTTATTATTAATTGCAAATTATGAGAACTGTTACATAGACGATTCTACAACTAACAATTCCTTCCGACCCTTACTAGATTCACGACAGACTACACTTCCTTCTTCGTAATCTTGATGAATACCTTCAATGATCCACGACCTGGCGACACTTCTTTCTCTGCGTAGAATCCTGGCGAACGGCTATAATTGTACATCGCTGGAGATCTCTTGCACACTTGCCTCCATTAATCTGCAAATTTGTTAATAAATTGCAATACCTGGGACTTGAACCCCAGACTTTTTGGTGTAGAAGCATTAATCAACCCTTGGTCAACCAATGGGCCAAGGGGCTTCCACACTCCAATTTCTCTTTGCATGCTTTTTTTTTGTTATTACTTTTGTAAAACCTCTATAAATTAATAATACCGGGACTAATATATATTTTAAGAAAATTTGACCTCGCGATTTTGATTATTATCCATTTAAAGTAAAAGTAAGCATGAATGTATATGCAAGATTTACTACTACAAAATTTCTGATACACGTGTTGTTAAATATTAAAGGTAGTTTACTCAAACAACCTAGAAATCAAAAAAAAATTCCCCCATTGTCATAAATCTACCGGCTATTTGATGGCATACTTAATTTAGACGACATACTTTTGTGATTGAGTAATTAGCGTGATAGATTTTTATAATAGAGTAATGTTTTAACGCAAATTTTAATGACAGACTAATTTTCAGTGATGGTAGAGAAAACTTCTTATGGTGCACGGTAGATATTTATTTTTCATGGTAGATCTATGGAGGTAAATAGATTTAAATGACACAAATTTTTACATGGTAGCATACATACATACATTAATGTAGGAGAGTCAGTGTTTACTGTTTAGTGATGAGAGCTTTTCAGATGAAGATAGATTTAACGATATTGACAGATTTTATCTTCATTGTTGTGGTAGACTTTAGTGTGACTGAAATAGCAAAATATCATAGAGTTATCGAACAAGTTGTGAGCTTTCTGGCAAACGAAATTTGATTCGACCAGAGCTTTCACCTAGACAGTCGCCAAAACCAAAGTGAGATAATAGATTTTTATGTTAGGGTTTATCTTTCATTTTCCTTTTATAATTCCAATTATTTTTCTTCCTTTTAAGTACAATGGCATCAATTGTTAATACCACAAAAACAAAATGCTTAAAGGTCATTTTTAACTTTTAAAAGCTATTCTAGTCAACTTTTTCTTGGAGGTGCTATTAGAGTAAACCATAAACTTTTAAAAGTCATTTTAGGTAATTTATCAAGTTTAATGATAATAAATAAAACTTTGTAAAATTAGGCAAGTGTAATAGTCTTTTGACAAAGAAAGTACTATAATATAAAGCAAGAGAAAAAACTTAATTATTTTGGGTCAAACAATAAATATTACCTTCAAATATCTATAGCCATTAGTATAAAACCTTAGAATTCATGGAAGAGTTTTCAGATGTCAAACATGGCTAAAACACATATATGTCTTTCTTTAATCATCTTGTTATACATCATATCAGGTAATCTAATCATCAATTTGATATAACAATCAATATACCGATTAAAATTTTGATTTTTATATTGATTGTTATATATGTGTGTTTTTGATGATTTCAAAGTCTTTAGTTGATTGTACGATTTTCCAACCTTTTTAACAATTTCAGTTTTATTTCCATGTTTCTCCTACAGAAGGAAGTTTCATGAGAGTCAATGCACAGGTACATGTTTAAGACAACTCTTCAACGAAAACGAAACTTGAAAAGTAAACAAAAATAATTCTCATATAGTTTTATATCCTTTTGAGTTTGCTCCTACTTGCAGGGCCAAAAGGAATGGTGTGTAGCTAAGCCTAGCAGTTCAACCGAAGAACTTTTTAATAACTTAAACTATGCGTGTTCGATAATCGATTGTCAGATTATATCAAAAGGAGGTGCATGTTATTCTCTAGATAATCTCTATAATCTAGCTTCTGTCGCCATGAATCTTTATTACCAAGCTGCAGGAAGACACTATTGGAATTGCAATTTTGGAGGCTCTGGTCTCATTGCCATAACTGATCCTAGTGAGTTTTATCTATCTCTTTTTTCACTAAACAATTATCTTATATTTTTCTTTCGTCTGATCTTAAATCATTTTTATTTCCGACAGGCTATGGAAACTGCATATATGAATTTCGTAAGTAAAGCATAGAAAACTTCGTGATCTTATCTCTTACAAAACAAATAACTCTTTGTTCAGATATTTCATATATGATATCTAAACTTTGAATAATGGTTCTGTTTTTCTATTATCAAGTGTTTTTATTCCATTGTCCAAACCATCTTATTTAATAACAGTCCAATATGTACCTCTATGCTTAATTATATGTGGTCAATGTTGGTATGGGAATTAATTATCTCTTTAAGAAAAATAGTAGATATAACTGTTATATTTTAAGTCCAATTTCTGACTAATTCCAAACCAAATTTATCACTAAATTGATCAAAGAAAGTGTTCTGGATAATTAGCCTAAACTTAAGACAAGATCTTTCGGAGACTAATTCCAAAGAAAGGGAAGCATATGAATGATACTGGGAGAGGCAAATGGATAAAGTGATAGGGGAATAATCTCACAACAGACACATAGACAAAGAAACGAGAAAACTCGACTAACAGGATTCTCCTATCACGAGTTTTCGATTAACAGGATTCACCTAATCAATTGCCAAGGGCTTTAGAATACTCAACTGCATATGTGATACAAATTTGAAATAAAACATAAGATTATTCTTTTGGTTTTTTTTCTCTGTAATGTAGAGTGCAATACATAGAGATATATAGTTTCTGCAAATTAAGTCAGTTAAACCATTCCATACTTGGCATCTAGACGCAGAAATTAACGTCTTCCATGCTTATATTGTAGCCTTAACAAGGCAATAAAAGTAATTTGGTTATAACCAATATCTAAAGTAGCCACAAACCAGTTTTTTCCATTATAAGTAGACCAAATACTCAAAAACAAATCAAATAACAACATCCACAACTCAGTTCCTCTTGCATAAGAAAATAACAATAAATAAGAAACAATTAATGGAAATTTTTTGGCATGGGACCATGTATTTGGTTATGCGTAATTGTGTAACTCAAACTTTCATTATGAAATGAATATTTACATTCTTATCAAAAAAAAAAAAAAAAAAACAATGGATAGTCCTCTAACTGTGCTCATGAAGTCGAGATCCGATGCAGCCAACGTGGAAGAAAAAACAGGAGGTATGTGATATGCTGCCATTCTCCAGCAATGCAAACAATGCGACCATCACTGCTATGTTCCAAGTTGTTGTAAAGCTCAAATTTGCCTTTGTGCAAGTTAGTAGATACAAAACATTTGTGTATCCAGCTCCACATGTAAATTTTATTAGCATCAAAACGGTTTATAGCCAACGGAAAATATTTGAAACGGGGATTTGTAGAATCCTAAGAGATTTCAAATACTGGTTGCCATTTCCCACTCTTTAGCTTCCATACACATAACTTATCCTCTAGACCACCATCGTCTTTTGTTTCTAGGAAAATGTTCATATACCTTTTTTTTTTTTTTTTTTTTTGAAAATGTTCATATACATTAGTGATCCCTGAGAAGTTGTTGTGCAAAGTCTCTTGATTTTCACATCTTTTCCTATATCAGGGAAAAGTATAGCGCTGTATCTATCAGATTCCGTTTCAGTAGCGTAGAATAGAAATCATACACAACAATTTCTTCGCTTGTAGCCGAACGAGAAAAGGTTTCCGTTCAATCTAACGGGATTGCACGTCAATACCGCTCAACGGGATAGGATTTTGGAGAATGATGGACCTCCACAAGCTTGTCTCAGATGAATATATACTTAAGCTTAAATGTATCCATCAAAACAACTTTTTAACTTAAAACGAGGCCGTTTTCAATTTGTGTTACAAGTCCAGGTTCATATGGTCTATGACATAGACGATGATTAGGAGGTGGAGGAGGCATAGAAGGGATTTTGACACATTGTCTCTTGAAATTGGATTAGCCACATAGTTGCTGCTTAGATCCCTGCCGGAAGAAGTTAAACCGATCAAAATCAATCCAACATCAGTGTATGCCTCGACTGTAACCCCTCACATTCGTTGATGTCTCTCGAATATTTCGGTTATCAAGGAGATATAAGAGCCTAGAGTTCTTTTGTAGTCAAGTGGTACTTAATTGCTGACCGTTTCTGCTACGTTCCAATTCACTGTGAAGCACAACACTCCCAATTTGCAAGTCAATAGATAGGAAAGATTCTTGCATCTCGCTCCTTAGGTACATTGTATTACCATCAAAAGAGTTTATCGACAGTGAAAAAAAATCGAAATCGGTCTCGATAAATGCCGCACAGATTTCCGTTACTAGCTGCCATTCCTGGCTTATTAGCTTCCATACATTTAACTTATGCTCTACACTTCTTCCATCATCTTTGTCTATAGATACCACATTCATATACGTTAAACATCCTCCGGAAATTGTGCAAGATCTTTTGAAGTTCGGTTCTTTCTCCGAGTCAGGGAAAGGTATAAGTCGAAAATGTTTATCAGAACCATAGAAGTCATAAGTTATATATATATATTAACTTATTATTATATATCTTATTATAATATCTTATTACAATAACATCTTATTATATATATATTTTCATATAACATTTGCTGTGCTTATAATCTCTAGTGTATATTAAACAAAATTTCACCCTAAATTGTAGAAGAAAAACGCAAATGGACATTTTACATGTTCTAAAATGTTAGATGACAAACTGAATAATTTTTTCAAAACAAACTTTTGAATATGATTCAAACATACATGTAAGAATTTGCGTTGAAAATTGATAAAAATAGAAACATTGATGATTACATAACTTTAAACGCCAAAATTTGTGTTTAAAACATAGGTTATTTTGTCCACAGAGACAGATCCAAGGCGATTTTTTCTGTTCAAACCGTGTTTAATTTGGACAACCTCGAACTAAACCCTTCGATTAGATCTACAATCCTGATCATAATGCTTGTTATTATTTCGATGGTGACACTGTATTGTTCGGTGTGGACATTTTTGTTACTATAGTAAAAACAGGTAAAAATAAAAGTATATCAATCAACTACTCTCTGCTTAAATGTAATCTCCAAATGATGGTCCGTAGTTCTGCTCAATATATTATTTTGAGCTGTTTAGATTCATAGTATTTTATTTTTTACTCTTTGATTCTTGTGTCCTCAACGTTATTAGTGTCATTTATGCGTGAATCACATGTAGATATACAGTATTGTTCTTGCATACAGTGGATGCTAGTCTGCAAGTATTATATTAGTATCAAACTCCTAAATGACATAATGTCGTCCTTATAACTTGGAGCCTTAATATTATATATCACACAATAGATAGTTTTTTTTTTTTTTCTTGACAAATCACACAATATATTACTTAAACGACTGTAACATGTAATATGTGATATATATATATATATATATATATATATATATATATATATATATGTTAAGGATTCAAAGAGTAGACGAAACAAACAATAAAGTTAATTAAAATAACAAAAACAAGGGATATTTGGGGAAAATACATATATATATATATATATAAACATAGTCATTTTCTACGTTAGGGTATTTCATCTTTTTACAGCCCTCGTCTACAAACATATGTTGTGTGGTATAGAGCGGTTGGGTCCATTTCTTGTTGTTGGATAGCTAAAAGCTACATGTGTGCTTGTCGTTAATTCGTCTTCATGCTAAATTAGGTACAACTTATACATTTTAAAATAACCACGTGTTGAACTAATATTTTCTGGTTGATAATTCGTGAAATCTTATCTGGTCCCAATCCAATTTATACCGGCGTGAAATCTCAAGACACGTACATAACATTTTTATAACAATATCACTAGTATATCATCATTAAAAAATCCTTCACATAAATATATTTGGTGAAAAAGGAATTTTTTGCGATAAAGAACTCTTTACAGCAAACATAAAAAGCCAAAACTCAAAAGAAATGTTGGTACTCATCATACAAATATAACTAACTCACATTTTTGGTGTGTAGAAAAATATGTCTAACTTCCATTGGTTATCCAATCTTTTGCTTATAAATTACTAGATTGGCAATTTGAATATATTTTATCGTAGGAGAATAAAACTAATTTAAATTAAAACTTATTAGAGCATGTGTTTTTTAATAAACGAAGTGTAAAAGACAATAGTAAGATATTTTGTTAATTGACAACACCTCTGTTTGTTTTTTTTAGTTAAACTTTCTATATATGTATGTATTTTTTTTGTCTCACCTACTTAGATTAGAGCTAGGCAAAAAAATCGGAACCGAGTATCCGAACCGAAAACCAACCCAAAATATTTGATCTGAACCCAAACCCGAATCCGAATCCGAGAATTTAGATTTACTCTATTGGGTGCTAAACTCATATACCCGAAAACCTTAACCCGAACCCGATCTGAACCCGAATCCGAACCCGAAAATACCCGAATGTTTTATTCGAAAATCCAAAATTTTACCTAAACTTGAATTTTAACCCAAAGCCCAGATATTTGCCCGAAAACCCCGGTATTTACCCGAAAACCAGGGTATTTACCCGAAAATCTGAGAATTTATACGAACATTTATATAATAGGTATTTAGCGATTCATAAATCTATATCCGAATTGATCCGAACCCGAAAGGACCGGAACCGAAACCGAACCGAATTTTTTTATTTACCCTATTGGATCTTAAACTCCTCTACCCGAAAGATCCGTACTCGATCGGATTTTACCCAAACTTGACCCTCATACCTGAATGCCCAGCACTACTTAGATATATACCTAAATCTAGTGCATCGTCCTACCGCTTGGTTACCATTTTTTTGGTAAACTCATAATTATAGTTTTTAAATATATAGTGTTTTTCTTGCAACCAAGAAATATTATTATTCATTGCATTCATATATACTAAATAAATATATATTTATTACTCCCATCCCACATAAAATAATTAAGGTAAATTAATTTTAAAATATATAAAATGTAGAAGTAGTTATTTAAAATGTAGGCAAGTTAAAATGATATATGTTAATTGTCGACTTGAAAATGATACTCCATTAAAAATACAACATATCGTATTAATTATTGGTAATATAATTAATATAACATGTCGTACTCTAGTAAATAAATAAATATATATATATATAACATGTCGTACTCCAGTAAAAAGAAAACAAATTATAACATGTATTAATTATTGAAAATTGCTAACTTGAACATCATTAAAAATATATTCTTCAATCAGTACATGTTCTTCTTTACAAATTTAGTTAATTTATTTTAATTGTATGTAAATATTACCCAATTTTTCAGAAAATAAATTAATAAAAAAGGTAAGTTGTTCGAAGTAGATAAAGGGCCTGATTGGTAACAGTTGTAGCTTTACATTTTTTGATGTAGAAATATGACTGTAGGTTTATTTGCTGTGGCTATAGATTTTATTGCTGTAGTATTTTGGCTGTAGAATTTAAAATTATGGAAAGTTAAAAATTATGTGCTTTAGGAAAAAAGGCTTTCTACAGCCAAAAAAATGAATTAAGGAAATATTTTGGCAGTGAGAAAAAAAAGGAAAGCCAAAGCTTCTAAAGCTTGATTGGATGTATTTCAAATCTTTAGAAATTTTTTTGCTTTGTAAAGACTCTAAAGCACTTGCCAATCAGGCCCAAAGATTTGAAGCTATAGGGGATATACGATGAGGTGTCAATAATCGACTGTCCTTCGACTTTGGACCTTAAATATCTAATCCCTTAATCACATAATCCCCATTGCTTTAATTAGATTCTCCCATGCTACAAATGTTCTGTTATCCTCAAAATTATCTTGAGATTCTTAGCATGCAGACTTAAATCTATATATATAATGAGAGAGTTTTCTCTCCATCTAGGGTGTCCACATCAACATTCTTGTCATCATAATTTATTTTTTGTGGGCTCCACATATTTTGTTTATTAAAGCAATAAACATTAAAACTAAAACTAATTCACACATTAAATAAAAACAATAATTGACAAAAAATAAATGAAATATTATGAAAAAAACGGAAAATCAAATATTCAACTTAAAATATGAAAATTTTGAATAAAAATTGGATAAATATACATAGATAATTATATTTTAACATATAATGAGTAATTATTTTAAAATAGTTAGAGATACGAAAAAAGAAACGTATCATATATTTTAATGGTACAAAATTTATTTTTTAGAGTTACAATTATTTAGTAGAGTAAATAAAATAAGAGTTAAAAAAATACCAAATTTAATGGTTTTTACTTAAAATAGAAAGCAATTCATTTCTGAAAAATAAACATATAAAATTTGATTACCGATTAAATAATAAGAATGAATTAGAACATATTATTATTTATAAGTATAATATAATATAAATATTTAAATTAATATATTTTTTTACATTATTAATGGTGCTTTGTTTTTTTAATGAATACCTAAAAAAGAAAATTTAAATATTAATCAGTACTTAGGAAATTAACATAGATTGAACAAAACTAAGGTGATTTGAAATAAAACAAAAAAACTATCCTAAACATCACAAATAAAAATAAAATAATATTATCGAATAATAAAACTGTGTAATAAGAATATTTGAGAATGCTATTTGGAAATTAAAATATTAATGGTAGATTGAAGATTTTTTCATTACAAATAAGAAGGATTTCGTTTTTTTAAAAAATAAATGTATTTAAAATTAAAATAATTTTTATGAGTTTGTAAGTGTCACATTTTAGAAAAATTAACAGTAAGATACTATCTTGAATTATAATATACGTTAAATTATATATGTAGAAAGTGCAAAATTTCACATTGAAATCATATGTTTGTGAATAACAATGAGTCCATATCTGAGATTTGTTTTCTATAAAGCAATTTTAGATGCAAAAAGATGATAATTAAAAAAAAAACTTATTACAAACATTTCCTCAAATTTTTGTTTCTGACGTTCACTTTAATAAAAAGATCATGAAACTTATATAAAAAAAAAGAGTATTGAATGATATGAAGGAAAAAAAAAACGATCTAAGGAGAAAAGAGAGTAGATGTCGGGGACGACGAGTGAATCATAGAAGATAACGAGAAAAATTATAGTGAAATTTTTTTTACTACTTTGGAAATATAATGCACATGAATAAAGTAAAATCTTTTAAAATTCAATTGATTATATTTATACACAAAGAATAAAAGTTTAAAACTAAACCCCGCGCAACGCGCGGGTACACCATCAAGTAACATATAATCACAAAGTTTTTTTACTTCAAGAAACCAATAACATGAGCCACACTCATTAAAGCTCTTCATCAATAATTGGAAGATTTTGAAGTATGTATCACACTGTTATTCTTTATATTTAAACATTCGTATTTGCAAAATCGGTAATATAAACAGTATAAATTTAGTCGTTTGTGTAAATTAGATTTGGGCCCGCAATACACCGGAGTATAAATTTTTATTTTTATATATACTAATGTTGGCTTTTTATAGTTTTAATTTAGTATTAAAGTGATATGATTTAAATTTTTAGTGTTGTTTAGATTTAACCCGTGGTACATGTTTAATTTAATAATTTAGTATTAGAAATACATCTAATCCCTAAAACACCAAATCCCCATTGGTCCAATTAGATTCTCTCCATACCTTGATAATTTTATCCCTTCACCGGCAACGCCACTCCACTCCTCTCTCAAACTTAATTTCCAAATACAATCTAACTAAATAAATAATTTAAAACTAATACCATTCTGCAAATCTCAAACTAAGACAAACCAAATAAAAGAAAGACTATAAAGTATTTTACTTGGTGTTTAAGGGTATAAATGTTTTGTTATCCTCAACAATTATCTTAAGATTCTTAACATGCTGACTAAATAACATATGTGCAACGATATTACAAAGTATTGTTACTTCAAAAAACCAAAACATGAGCCACAATCATTACACAACCACATCAAATCGAAACTCTTTTGTCTTCTCTAGCTAGAAAGTGCCATCTGTTTTTCCTATAGACCCATAACTGGGGCGGAAACAGCGTTTATGAAAACGCTATCAATGACATATTATAGCGTTTCTCTCGTGATAAGAATGTTGATTTTTCTTGTAGTGCATTTCTCACTTTGCCCATTTAATATTATTCAAAAACATAAAATAAAAACCACATAAAACAAAAATCGTTATCGACATTCTTTCATTGTATCCTAAATCCTCATCACTCAACTTGAGCTCGCCAACAGAGGTTTCTCCTATAAATACTTGTAGAACACTAACCTAAGAAATCATTCCAAACTTCATACCGAAAATAAATTGGCCTGAGTATTGAGCAAGATTCGGATTCAATTTCTGGTACTCTATTTTTCATAGTTTTATGATCATTTTATTATTTCTTGTGTTGTTAGTATTTTGCTTTTTACTATCATAAGTTTCTTTTTCGTCATGATTTTTTACATGTAACTGTGTATTTTTTTTTTCTTTGCACTATCATAAATCTCTCTAACTTTTTTTTTCCTTTCAGTGATATCATCGATGGCGTTCTCCGAAGATTTGATGTCGAAATGCTCAGAACAAATAAATGCTTATAAAGCCGCTTGTGAAGAAGACCCAGAACTCAAATCCTTTGATGCTTCGCTTCAGCAGAAAACCATCAAAATGATAGACTCACTCACCGTTGACACCAAGACTGGCTCGGTATCCCCACACGAGGCACACATGAAGGTCTCAGAGCACCTAGTTGAAGTTACCCAAGGTGTGGCAAACTTCATTACTAAAGTCGAAGGAGATGTGTGGGTTAACGAAAATCTAAGGTCTTTGGTCTTGGCCTATTTTGAAAATACCGCGAAGACTTTAGAGATTTTCAATACTATAGAGAAATGCGTCGATGATGCATCTATGGGCCAAGTTTACATTCAAGAGGCCTTGATTGAGTTTGAGAACGAGTCGGCAGAAAAGGATGATGGTGGAAAAAAGAAGAAGTACGAAAAAACAATGGAGCATCTGAAGAAGTTTAAAGCCAATGGAGACCCCTTTGATGGCCAAGTGCTCACGGATCAGATCAAGTTAATCAAAAAAGAGCAGGAAGACCTTGTGGAGAAAATGAGTGACGCTATAAAAAATATTGAAAAGGAAGAGAAATCAATTGAGAATGTGCTTTTCGGCAGTGCGTTTGCCCTTCTTGCTGGTGCATCGATAGCTGAACTTGGAACAGCCGGCAAGGTTGGCTTTTCCTGGGGGCTTCTAGTCTCACCACTGCTTGCGGTGGGATGGTTTGGAGTCCACAGTTACATCGAAAAGAAGAATGCTCTGAATAAACAGTTGGAAGATTTGCAGAAACTGGAAGATGTGGCAAAATCGGCGGAGAAGGGTTTAATAATCAATGAAGAAGCGACGGAGACCGTGTCTAAATTAGTCGAAGGGCTAGAAAACCGTATCAAACATATGTTTGATCTTGTAGATAATGCTATCGACCATGCAAAAAATGAGGCGGAAGCGAGATATGTCCTAAACAAGATCAGTAAGAAAGTAGACAACTTAACACGGAAAATCGAGGAGGTTGGTGAAAGTGTGGAAAATCATAGCAAATTGATCGTAGAGGCGAGACGTCACGTTATGGAAAAGATCAACCGTTTTGGATAACATTGATCCGTTTAAACTTCAACGATGTGTGTTGTTCAAAACCCATATTTTCTATGTTTTAATCATCCCATTGTACCTTTTCTTAAAACGTTATATGTTTTGTAACTTTCACCATCCGAGAGGATTGGTTGATATGTACCTCAATCCAATATTTTCGTGAAATAAAGTTTGAAAAAAACTTGTTGTATTCTTTTCATCTTTTCACAATTTAAAGAGAAAATGTGGTCAAATAGCACCTAAAAGTGATATGTTTTATAATCAAATTTTCAAACATTTAGAGGATCATAACTCATTCTATCATATAATTCATTACATTTAATCTGCTGCATGCAATATATATTTTTAAAAATCAAATTGGAGTATCTATACTTTTAACTTTTTTGATCTATTAAATAAATATGATATTCTTTTAAAAAAAAATTCAAATTAAAATATTTTTTAATGTTCCAAATTAAAATATTTTAAAAGTTTATTTTATTATATAAATTATGTATTTCAACAAAATAAATATATGAAATTGAATATAAATATTCAAATTTAGATCCGTTACTTTGTCAATTTTTTTGTTGAATATATTTTTGTTTAGAAGAAATATATCATTCCAGTATGGATTTTTGACCCGTTATAAAAAAAATTTCATAGATTGAACAAATTTATATTCATTTTTAAAACATCAAATCATGGCACATGCATAAAAAATCTACTTTTTTTATTATATGGATGATATAAAAATTTATTTTTTTCACAAAAATAAAATCATATAAAGACGATATATGATCTTATATGTTCATTTAATAAAATAAATTACTATTTAACATTTTACCCTTAATGGCTATTATTAATAAAACCTATATTTATAACGGCATTTGAATGTAAACATATATCCTTGCTAAGGTTATTTCCAAGATATACTTCCGTAAAATGATATAGGTGATGTTGTCAAATAACACCTAAAAATGAGTTAATTATTGAGATAGCATCCTTTGAGAAGGGTTTACTCAAATATCACCTAAAAGTTGCCATAAGAATATTAAGCATTTTAAAAATCTGTATTTACATTTTGTGCCATTTAGAATTATATTTTTAGAGAAACAAATATATATATATATATATATATATATATATATATAATTATATATATATATATGTTTACCAAAAAAAATAAAAAAAATATATATATATATATATATCTAAAACACAAACCTAAACCCAAATATGCGATCTATAGGTTTTCTTCGATCTGTGAGTTTCGCTTTCTATATATACCTTCGATTTTGGAGTTTATAATGGCTCGTTGATGGAGTCTGGCTTCAGACGAGGAGGTTTAGAAACTTTATCGATCCACAAAATCAAGCACTCATAAATTCGCTCGAGGTGTTGTTAATCAACGTCCCATTTTTTCAAAAGGGAAGCGCAATCGAAATTTTTTCGGATCTAACCCGATAATATACCCTAATTAATCGAGATTCTCTCCTCCTCATTCATTGTCTTCTTCAACCGTTTCTCTTTCAAAAGAGAAAACCGTTTTCTCGATTTCAAATTCAAAATTGTTTATCAATTCACTCTCATAAATCTCTTTTGTTGCTAATAATCTTCACCAATTCGCTCTCATAAACCGAGAATCTCCGTTTTATTTTGTTGTCGATTATTTTGTTCTTGCATACACCGGATGCTAGATTTTCAAGTCTCATAGTGTCCTTAATTATAACTTGGAACCTTAATTTGAGATATCACACAATATAGATAGTTATTTTTTGGGGACAAATCACACAATATATTACTTAAACGACTGTAACATGTAATATATATCTTTCCCAATATGTAATGTTTCAAAGAGTAGACGAAACAAACAATAAAGTTACTTAAAATAACAAAACCCACCAAGATCCTTTTATTATTTTTTACATAGTAATTTATGTATATATAAAAAGTCATTTTCTACGTTAGGGTATTTCATCTTTTTACATCCCTCGTCTACAAATATATGTTGTGTGCTATAGAGCGTTTGGGTCCATTTCTTGTTGTTTGATAGCTAAAGCTACTGTCTATTGTCTTGTTTGATTGTCGTTAATTCGTCTTCATGCTAAATTAGGTACAACTTATACATTTTTAAAATAACCACGTGTTGAACAAATATTTTCTGGTCGATAATTCGAGAAATCTTTTCTGGTCCCAATCCAATTTATACCGTGAAATTTCAAGACACGTACATAACATTTTTAGAACAAATCACTAGTATATCATCATAAATAATCCTTCACAATAAATACACTGTATTCGGTGAAAAGGGGATTTTTTTGCGAAAAAGAACTCTTTACACCAAACATAAAAAGCCAAAACCCAAATCAAATGTTCGTACTCATCATACATATATACCTAACTCACATTTTTGATGTGTAGATAAATATGTCTAGTTACCTCCATGAGTTATTCCAATCTTTTGCTTATAAATTACTAGATGAAGGGAATAATTTGAATATGATTTATCTTAAGAGAATAAAACTAATGTAAATTAAAAACTTATTAGAGCATGTGTTTTGTTATAAACGTAGTATAAAAGACAATTGCCCTAGTAGTAAGGGAGAACTAGGGATAGGTTGGAAGGAACTAACCCAGATTCGATCCACCCTTGAAACAAAAATCACATATGTGTGGGAAGTCTGGAAGGCCCAAACAGTTTACCTGGTAGTTAGTAACAGGTGATCACTACAAGAAATTTGTTCATTGTTAGCGCTAAAAATATGCTATCTTACGTTATATATAGCGAATTCACAAACGCTATGTTCTCGGCAGCTATGGTAGGTGTCACTCATAAGATAGCATTGTTTGAAACGCTATTATAGTTAATGATATAATAGCAAAATTTAAACGCTGTGTTAAAGTTTAATATAGCACTTTAATTTTTTGTTAAAAAGTAACGATGATTGTAATTTCGTGTCATAATAGGTGATTCAATGTTAGCAATTAGTTCATGCTGCGAAATATATTTTAGTAGCTTTACGTTTTACGCTATGATATATGATTCTTCTACAATGACAGTGAATAATTGCTAAGTTTTGTTTAATTACGCTGTTTAATTATGCTGTAATACAATCTATCACAACTTGTTTTTTTTTGCTATTATATGCATTCCCAGAACCCAACATAGACAAAAAAAAATCTGAATAGAAATTTCATCTTAAGTCTGAATCCAATCCAACATAGAGAAAAAATCCATACAAATCATTCAACATAACATAAGTCTAAATCCAAAGTAGACAACAAGTCTGATTCCGAATTTCATAACACAAGTTGATTAGTCTAGTCCTAAACTAATTTAAACTAGCTAACCTGGACCAAAGTGTCTTCATTCCCTGCAATAATCAACAATGTCTCCTTTCAGTTTCAGATATAATACGAAAGTACAAGGATCACAGTAATCACAAAACTTACCCCAGTTTATTCTTAAACTCAATAGATGACCAACTTATCCATTGGCCATGCAATAGCTGAACCAAGTGAATCTCTCATATACTCGATTTCATCTGATGGCCTCCAAACTGCTGCATCATCTATTTTCACTATATCCACCCAAACTCTAGCTGCATTAGCCCCCAAGCGAACATGGTGTACCTTTAGGTCTGGGTCGATTGAATGCACACGTCCTTCAGCAACCACCTGCTTCTTTCCACTAATATCCATTAACTTACACTTCTGATTGGCCTTGATAACTTCAGCTACACTTTTACGCTGCAATGTTACAATATAAACCAGGTTTAATGCATGTAGAAAAATAACCAGATTCAATAGGTAAAAACAATAAACAAAATACCGGAGATCTTCTCAGAGGGAGTTGTGAATCCAGCAGCTGACTTTTCTTGACAAAAGACTTTGAACCTGTAGCTGTGGACTTCTCAGCTAGAGCTTTTGAAACTGTTGCAACGGATTTTGTACCTTTTGTTGTAGATATCTCAAGGGATGGCTTATAACCTGCTGCTGCAGTTTGTGAACCTGATCCTGCTGCTTTCCCTGATGCTGCTGTAGTTTGTGAACCTGTTGCTGCTGCTTTCCCTGATGCTGCTGCTTTCCCTGATGCTGCTGCTTTCTCTGATGCTGCTGATTTTCCTACTGATGCTGCTGCTTCCAATGGTGATTTTCCTCTTGCAGCAGAAGTCTGAAGTGGAGATTTCTGACATGTTGCATCTGTATGGTTTTCAAAGATCACTTTGTGGACAGGCCATGCTACATAAGACATTAAACAGTCCTCAAAGTATGTCACATCCATCGTTGGCCTCCATATAAAAGTCTCTGGTTGAAGAACTGCATCGACAAATATCTTTACTGCTGCTGGCCCGAGAGGAAGCCCATTGACTAATGCGTTGTGTTCTTGTGTCTGCCAACGTCCTTCTGCAACAACAACCTCATCTGAAGACAAATCCAGTAGTTTGCATTTGTTCACAGAGTTAGGTCTTGGTCCCTATCAAAAACATTGAAACCCAAAAATACATTGTGTTAATAGAAGATCATTATTCTATATATGAGTATGAGAATGAATAATAAACTTTACCTGGGCTTCAATGTCTTCTTGTTGGAGATCCTCTTCTAGGTTAACACACATAGCAGCAGGCCATGCAATCATATGTCCAACAGCTTTCTCAATGGTGAACATGTTAGCCGCAGGTCTCCAAAGGAATGCTTCTGGTTCAATAGCAGTGTCAATCAAGACTTTAACATCCGTAGGGCCTAAGGGACAGTCATTAACTAATTCACCCGGATCAGAAGAAATAATACATCCCTCAGCAACTTTTACATTAGAACCAGCCCAATCAAGTAAGACACATTTTGGTTGTGATTTTTTGTTCACACTCTGTAAAAACAATAGGTAGACAAAATATCAGGTGATTGTATCTGTTAGAATAAATCAAAGCATCTGATATGAGTGACTTACTCTTGCAGCTGAGTTTTCACCTACTTCAGGTGATTGTCTCTGTTACAAAAAAAAAGAAAAGAAGTCAAATGTTATATATATAAAGCTGCTTTATATAAATAGATATAAATAGTTAAGTGCACTAACCTGGTTCTTCATTTTCTCAATTACATCTTGTAGCTCATTGACCTTCTTCTGGAGATGAAGCTGATTCTCTTGCATTTCAGCCATACACTTGTGCTTCACTTGGAAACAAGCTAACTTGGTCTTATTCATATTGCGACCCATTGCTCTCATTCTACCAGGATTGTCAGGCCCTAACAGTTGGCTTAGTGAATCTTGTGCTTCATTTGTTGCATGTGATGGATTATCACTGTTAACAATCTCCTCTGCCTTTTTCTGAAACTCATAAGATACATATTAAAATATCAAGTGTGATTCAAATGCCAAAATGCAAATCATTAGAAGCAAAATAACTCACAATCTTTTCAGCAGCATTCGTATTCACTGGTGTACCATCTTTCTTAGTACGTGACTTAACCCAAACCTTTAGGCGTGTCACTTCAGATGGGTCTGCACTAGCAGTTTTCTAAACAAAAAAGAAAAGAAACAAAAGATTACACAAGTGTTTGGACTTTGGGAAAAGGCTGAGCAATATGAACAATATAAGTGTAGCAATATTACCATATCTTCTGCTAGTCTAACCATTCCCCTGCGACTACAAGTGTGTGGAATCTGATTGCGCCTTCTTTCCTTGTAGCTATCGCTTACAACCTAACAGATGAATGTTAATTTCTAAGGAAAGATAAGTGAACCTACTCATAATAGATAAATTTACAAATTCCAAATGCATACCTTAAATTCTTTGCTAGTTTTGAGCTTCACAAATTTACGCCAATCAAATGGAGAAATATTTTTAGGTCGCATGTTCATCCTCTCTTGGTTAGTCTTAGCTTCTCTAATGTTTGTAACTTGCCTTGATTTCCAGGACCTCCACAAGCATCCCATCTGCTTAAGCACTGTAACCTTTTGGTACTCTTCATCTAGTTCAAACCTTGCCTGCACTCAAAAACAAAACAGCTAAGTACTCACACCAATATATAATAAACTTGTAAATTTTACACAAATCTTACCTGGACAGATTTCCAGAGAACTGTCCTGACTTCTTCACCTATTTTTGTCCAACGATCAATTGTGATTGGAACGTGTTCTCTTACCAATGCGCCTACATATGATGCTAGTTTAACTGAGCCTTTACCAATAGGCTCTCCCATGTTAGTGAACTCTACTCTTACTCTGGTATTTGGATCCTTGGCAATATCCTTCAGCCTAGTTGGTCCTCGATGTCTCTTACGCTTTGGATCAGCACAATCATAATCCTCAGATAATACAAGCTCTCCTTCAGCCTCTTCCACTTGATTTGGATCTGCTACTTGAACTTCAGCCTCTTCCACTTGATCTGGATCTGCTACTTGAACTTCAGCCTCTTCCACTTGATCTGGATCTGCTACTTGAACTTCAGCTGGTGCTACATGTTCGACCTCATCATTGACTTGTGGTTCAACTGTACCCATATACTCGACCTCCTCATTGGCATGCTTTGCTTCCTTTTTTTTGTTACTTCTGCATCGCTTTTTCTTCTGTTGTCCCATTTTAAATCACCTGAGAAAAATGAAAGAAGAAAGAGTTAAGTATATACTGAAAATAAGACATCAAACACACTATGGAAATCAGACATCAGACATAGAGCAGGCAACAAAGAATGAAAATGATAAAAAAAAACTACATTTCACAAACATATATCCCTTCACAATCAGATCTCTCATTCTCAGCTTCATCCAAGTCAACGTCGATGTCAATATTTGGTGGCAATGTGCCAATGTCTGCAACTGAATCTAGAAACTCTTTCTGACTGAATCTTCTTGAAGGACCTCTCAATGCAACATACCAAGGTGATGAGTCATCTTCCCTTAGGTAAAACACTTGTTTTGCTTGAGAGGCTAGTATATACGGATCCCTTAAAAATGAGACTTGACTATGATTCAGGTTTACAAGTGTAAAACCATCTTCTTGCTTCACTCCATTGCCTTTTACTGCCCAGTTACAGCGGAATAATGGAACGTAAAATACATTATAATCCAGCAAGATAATGTCAGTTATGCAGCCATAGTATGATACCAAATCCACCACTTGGGAAGTGTCTTTTGCACTGGACCTACAGATTGCAGTTGCCTCGTAGAAAACACCACTATTCTGAGTTTTTTTATCCACTGATCTTGTATGAAATCGTTGCCCATTCACTATATAACCAGTATATGTCCTTGCACAACTACGTGGACCATAAGCTAACCATTTAAGTGTTTCTTCGTGTCTGTTTGAATCAAGAGGTATCTAACAAATAAAAAAATAAATAGTTTTAATAGAATGTCAACAAAAAATTCTAAATCTCGAGAATAGGTCAATACAAGTTATCTAAAAATCTAAGATTTCCGAAAGCAAAATTGTGCATCCTATTTATCAAGCTACGCCTAAATCAAACCACACAAACAAATAGTTCTAATTAAGCAAAGAACACGGACATGCAAAAGACAAAAATAAGAACACGGACATGCAAAAGACACAGAACTTACAAACTATGAATTTCTTTTTCAGACGAACATACCAAATAAGAAAAGACAAACTTGAATCTAAACACAAACAGAAATATAAAACAAAGCTGCCACAAACTATCAATTTCTTCTTCAGACAAACATACCAACTAAGCAAAGACAAACTTGAATCTAAACACAAACACAAATATAAAACTAAGCAAACACAAACACATAAGCAAAGAAACAGAACCTCAAACACAAGCTTGAATCTAAGCAATTCATTTTCGTTTTCATTGATACTTTCAATTTCATTGTCAGCAATCCATACTATCCCAAAGTTGTAAACCCTAATTCTCAATTACAAACAGAATCTCAAATTAATAATATAGTTTTGAACCCTAATTCTCAATTAGAAACAAAATCGAAAATTACTTACAGCTTCGTTACTTACAGAATCTCAAATCTCTTCCTTCTCTTCTTTTCAGCTTCGTCTCCTTCCTTGTTTTCGTTGATAAAGAGCTTCAAACCTCGCAATAAGCTACAGACCTTGAAAGCTCACAATAAGAGAATTTAATTAGGGTTAAGGAGACTGATAATGGGAGCAGCTTGAATGAGAAATCAAATCGGATGGAAGACTAACCCAGTCGAAAAAACAGAGAAGACGAGAAGTCTGGCGAACGAGAAACAGTCGGAGCAAAAGAATAGAGCTACGGAGAGGACGAGAAGTCGAGAGAAACCCAGCTCCGAATCAGATCTAGGTCGAGACACCGAGCCCAGATTGAAATCGACGCCGGTGGAAGTGGAGATTCTCGCCGGTGAAGCAAGATTCGCCGACGAGCGGTCTGAAACTAGGTTTACGGTCGCCGGTGTTTTCACTCTGAGCTAAGACGAGAGTGTTGTGTTTTTTTTTCCCCGAGTCTTCTCTTTTTTTTGTTTAAGACCAAAGCTTATTTTTCTTGTTTCTTTTTCTAAGTGTTCGCGACTTCGCGGTCTTGGACAAAATTTCACCAAGTGTTGGCGGTACAAAGTGATTTTAGTTTCCCGCTTTGCTATTATTCGTCTTAGCGTTTCTGAAACGCTGTGTTATAGTTACAAAACCCTGGGTACCATCTGTAATAGCAATTGAGTAATCAACGCTATCCTATAGTGCTATCAATGCATACTTTTGTTGTAGTGGATCTGGCTACCCCTGGCATTAGTCGGAAAGCATTCCAAACTCGAACAGACAGTGTGGTGACCCTTCAGGGAGAAGTCCACTCTGAAGTACTTCGGTGCGTTTCTACCGGAGCTGACCGGATCAGCCGATAGAGTTTATAAAAAAAAAAAAAGTAGTATAAAAGACAATAGTAAGACATTTTGTTAATTGACAACTCCTTTGTTTGTTTTTTATTTATTTAGTTAAACTTTCTATATATGTATGTATTCTTTTGTCTCACCTACTTAGATAAATACCTAAATTTAGTGCGTCGCCTTACTCATTTTTTTTGTAAACTCATAATGTATGGGATTATAGCTTTTAAATATCTAATGTTTTTCTTGCATCCAATAAATATTGAACATCACTAAAAAATATATTCTACAATCAGTACATGCTCTTCTTTACAAATTTAGTTGATTTTATTGTAATTCTATGTAAATACTAACCGAATTTTCAGAAAAAAAAGTAAATAAATAAGGTAAGTTGTTCAAAGTAAATAAAGATTTGAAGCTAAAGGGGATATATACAACGACCTGTCAATAATTCCTTCGACTTCTGACCTTAAACATCTAATCCCTTAATCACATAATCCCCATTGCTCCAATTGGATTCTCCCATGATACAAATGTTTGTTATCCTCAAAATTATCTTAAGATTCTTAGCATGCAGACTAAATCTATATATAATAGTAATCTCAATAAATGCCATTAGCACCTCTGAATGGTTGTGTTTTTCTATCGTAACCTTTCGTTTGTGTATTTTTATCATATATTTTCTTTGAAATATTTACGGTTGTGTCTTTTTATCGCATCGCTTCGTTAACATATTTAAGGATTTTTTTTAGTTTACGGTTGTGTCTTCATAGTTGCATCTATTCATTTAAATTTACGTCTCATATTATATAGATTTAAATTGTGGCTTTTTAACTAAAATATATATTTTACGGTTGTTTTTTTTCAAAAAGTTACAATCTGAATAAATATTTTTTGCAGTTGCATCTTTTTATCGTAACACCTCATAAACAATTGTGATTGTTTATTTGAATTATTGCTACATTTACTTTATTTAACGAACAAATGTAATTTTTGATTTATTTTATAAATTGTTAAACATTTAATTTTTAAAACTAAAAATATATATTTTATAGTGGTTGCATTTTTTTATCGTAACTTTTCGTAAACGGTTGCAACCGTTTAGTTAACTCATTGCAACATTTAGTTTCTTTCACGAACAAATGCAACTCTTGATTTATTTTATAAACCGTTATAGTATTTAATTATCTACAGTCACATCTTTCAGTATAATCTTTATAAACTTTTATTTCAATTTTATTTAATAAAATGTATTTAAATAAAATTGTAACCGTTTAATTGAACCGTTGCAATATTTGGTTTATTTGATAAATTATTGCAACTTTTAGTTTTGTTTTAGGAAAAAAGATAGTCAGCTACACGAAGTATAACAGAATACATGGCTACACATGCCAAGTTTAAAAATGTACAACCAACTACACGAACTAAATGTATTGCATGCCCACATATACCAACTATATGACGACATGTAGTCAACATCACGAATATTTTATTCCGGTACACTAATCATCCAAATTAAGCGTTGTAATCTTTAGTTTATTTGACGAATTGTTGCAATATTTGGTATATTTGACAAATGATTGCAACTTTTACTATATATAATATATACGGTCGCGTCTTTCGGTTATAGTTCTTCATCAAATTTTTAATTTTAATTTCTATTAAAATGTATGTTGCTACCGTTTAATAGAACATATTAACATTTGGTTTATTT